TTAATCAGAAGTAGGGTAGCTTAGCTGGAAGAGCACCTTGGTAGAAAGCAAGTGGTCGTTAGTTCAAATCCTGCCGCCGCCTAAATTATCATTTCACCTTCAATCATCGCTCATTATAAACAAACGAACAATATCTTTCTAAGCAGCCACAATGGAAACCAGTCTGACGAATTACCTTATTACCACTTATGTTACCTTAAAATCCATAGATTCACAATGTATCATGCATACATATACACAAAATGGTAGAAAAGGACAAGATGAATGCAACCCAGTTAAACGTACAAATTCATATCAATGAACGAAAAATAGATGGAATACGAATGTTAACAGATTCTCTTACATTGGAGGATTCAGATAGGTCCAACAGTTTGACAAGTAACGAAATATAGAAAACTCAACTGATATTTCTCAATGTACACGACCTGCTAACGCATATTAACAGGAGTTCAATCCATCTCATTTGATAGAGTTTTGGCTCATTACCTAATGCACGAACATGTATGTGTTTACTGAGAACATTTCAACACTTTTTCCAACTTTGAACAAACGAAGTGCCCATGAAGTTTAAGAATAGTTGACTAATTCTGAGATTATAAAACACTGTATGACATATCATTACACTGAAGTTTAGATATTCACTGGGTAGACAGACTAAAAGATTTAGAAAATCACTGATTAGAATTAAAACACGAAGTGAATCTGGGAGATCAAAAAAAAAGATGTCTATAAGTGACTAGTTATTGAAGACGACAAAGCATCGTCTGCGTATAGTGATAACGAGGGTAAGCACTATTGATCTTAATAGTAAACTGTATGATATACGAGAAGTAAATCTTTAACTGAGTCTGTAAACACAAAGTAATTTAGGTGAATGAGGCAATTTTTTAAGGCAAACTTGACTACTTTGTGTTTCCCACATACAATGCGCTTTGGTGCAGAAGTAGGTGATAGAAAAACTAAATAATATCGTAATCAGGTATAGTAGTAAAAAACCTTGGGAAAATGATCTCCTACATCAGCAGTCTTTGTCCTCCTTTCACTCACTGTGTACATCATACCAATTTTTCATCCTTCTTTAATTCTGTTGAGAAGAAAAATAACTTGAATCTACTGAGTATTATGCAAGGATCTATGATGTAAAGACTTCTCAAGTAGGTTGCAAATAATAATAATAATTATTATTATTAAAACACAAAGGTGGTGCAGCCACGGCACCAAGAAATGTGTAACACAAAATAATATAACAACATTATGAAGAAATAAAGCCATCTCAAGTGAATAGAAAACAAATCACAATAACAACAGAATAATGACGTACATTCAAAATGAAACATTCATTACTTCTCATCAGCAGAAGATACGAGGAGAAGGAAGAAGCTACAGTATGACCACCACTGCTTTCCATTCTCAGTCATATCTGATAACGTCTCAAGTCACTGAGTTGCGTGGTCTCTCGGAACCCACACCTCAACAGGGAGTCGTGAGGCACCAACACATGTTAACCCCATACAACTATCCTTCATCCCAACCCTCCACTTCTTCCATTCACTCCCACAGTTAGCAAACAATGAACGATGTGGAAGCCGTTGAGTCGACATGTGTAACACATGTCCAAGTCACCGAAGCCGACGTATCCAGATGGCTTCACTTATTCAATGGCGATCTTTATCATACCCAAAAGCAGGCTGTCATGCCTTACAATTACTTACATGGTATTGCCACCAGATACGAGCAATCCTACAGAGACAACAATCATCGAACACAGAGTCATTGCATATCCTCAGCTAGTAGAGGCCAGGTTTCACAGACATAAAGCAGAACTGTTTGCACAGAAGCTTTGTAAACTCAACTTTTTACGGTCAGACTAACGTCGCGACTGCGCCAAACATGATCCAGATTGACGTGTGCCACTCTAGTTTTCGATATGCGGTCTTAAGTTTCACTACTCATATTCATGGAGTTACTGACGTTTTGAAGCCTTCATAAACTATACGATGCCATTCTCAAAGAAGAAGTGTTTTTATCTGATGTCAAACTAAGTGACTAGTTTTTCAGTCACAGTGTATTCTTAATTTAATGAACCAGAATAAAGTAATCATAAACACGAATTAAAATACAACAGCTTTTAGCAAATACTTGATGCAACAGCCTTACCCATGAAATATCAAATATTCACTACGCTCAAGCTAATAACATACTCTTCTTTTGCTTCATTCATGTAAAGTACGAAAATGTTACAGTACATAGCTGACAGATACATCAAAATGGAACCTTGTTTAGAGTGTATAGCTTCAAGGTAACGCTATTTCAATCGAACACGCAAAGTGAACGAAAAGTGAATGAAATGTGTAAAAGAAAGGAGAGAAAGAATAAGTAAAAGCTATTGGGAATATTCAGAGTTCTGAAGGTGGCAATGTTTATATTGGCGCCATATTGACCAATTCTCAGAAGTTAACTCACAGTTCACGTGAATCAGTAGCATGAGGTGTATACTGATTCATCAAAATCTTACAACATACAACATTTTGACGGAAAGAAAATCAAAATCCAACAACTCGACATTTTTATCTCCTAACACTTAAATGTATTTCTTCCCTATTGCGAAACTTCTCTAAGAATATAGATCATGGCACACAAAAATAGTGTTTGAACTCAATCAGTATTTTGGCTGCATAACTTCTTTCATTTACTCAACAAGTAGCATGAGGCACCACTTTCCCCTGAAAAAATATACAGACAGACAGACAGAATCAACGTAGAACCTCTCACATAAGTGTATCAGCTCAGGTTGCCACACCTCATAGAAGTACACAAAGAACAGGTGGATAGAATAAGAGTAATATCGAAGTTAAAAAAGTTGTATCAGAGAATATAAAATTCCATCATAAAAGTTAAAAAAAATATTCAAGCTTTAGAAGACATCAACGAGTGAATTCATCTGCGTCATCGTCACCGATTTTCAGCAATGTCAGCTAGAGTTGTAAACCACTAATTCCTATCGTCTCCGAGACCCCATCACGGTAGTCTACATCTCCCAACACGGCTAAGACCAACAGTCATAGACTTTAAAGATTGGTGACACGTCTTGACTTGGTCATGCTAAACCCCCTTCCAACCTAATCAAACTTCCCCCAGCATGGCACGTCAAGATAGGCGGTGACTTGGCATGCGCAGTACATATTCAAGCCACCTTAGAAGATAAAGGGTGACAACCTCATCTGTCGACATACCTATCTTGCCTTGTAACCTTTGCCTAAACCTAACATCGCTCACACGGTGATTTCACCAAACGCGAGGAATGCTAAGAACATATTTGCGATCAAAACCATACAAGCCCTTTATGTCTGCCACCTTCAATGGTCATTTCTTACAGTAGTATAACAAGACACAACGGACTGCAGCATAGTATACTCGTCCCTTGACATATAGTGAGATACCTCCCAAGTTAGCGCCACAGATGACGGAACTTGGCAAATGCTTAACAAGCCTTCTGTTTGCGAGCTGACGATTCGTCAACAACCAGTCTGTTCAGGCTGATGCAAGTCACCAAGTAAGAGAAGTGGCCAATGCATTCCAACACTTTGCTTCCTATCAATAAACTTGAAGTCCTTGCAGCAGATAAGTCTCCTGAAGCATTGTCTTACATTTGACAGGTGCGAAAAGCATGTCAAACATGCTGAGATTTCTGCTTAACGCGTTCAGAAGACCCTGCACTTTGTCAACGTCTTCAACTAGCAGGACAATATCGTCTGCATACTCTAAGTCAACCTCAATACCTGTAAAGTTAGACGTACCTAAGGTTATGTTAAGTAGTACGTCTATGACGAAATTAAATAGGAATGGTGATAGTGGGCATCTTTTCTGTTGTTGTTAATTCATTTGCAACCCTTACACAGCTGCATGAGTTCGAGCAGAGAGCTTTGATAAGCATTATATACTTGTAGGATACTCCTCTCGGTACGCATGCCTCTCAATTAGAAATATCAGAATCTATGTGGATAAAATTGCAAATCTATCCATCTTAAGCAGAAATGAAAAGCTAACAATAATTATTCAGTCGTGACAAGAATGGCTCAGTGGTAACATTGCTGACTTGAACACCGTGATGCTGCTTCGATTATCAGGCGGGACATCAGCTCCACCGAGGTTGCAGATACACCTTGCTGATGAGTGCCAACAAGCACGAAACCCAAGTGAAGCAGAGCTTCATGCCGATTACCTTCATCCAACAAACATCCCCCAAATTACACTGCGATGGTTGGAACACCTCAAAGGACATAGTAGGAAGCTACAAAAGCAAAGAATGAACATAGTCTTTGCAGAGTACTGGTTCTCGTGTCAAGTAATCAACGCCTGGAACCGACTTCCAGAAGAAATGGTGTCCGCATCACCAATTGACTCGTCCAAATGGGGATTAGACAAGCACGTAAATCTGGAAAAGGATTAATATAGGCTCTCAGCCTCCTATCCTCAATGAATCTGAACGGTGAACCTCCTAGCTTGGTGCCGCATTAAAATTCGACCAGCACTAAGCACTAGACAACATGAGATTGGTTGCTCTTCAGTAATCAATCAAGGCAAAAAATTGGTCTGTATACCAAGGTTAATGTGTTAAGTTAAGAATCGCGCCAAATATAGCAACCCAAAGTGATGGAATGCAGTTTGAAGAAACCACCCTATGGAAGAGAGTCTACAGACTAAAACGCTGATCGATCGATCCAGTCGATTTGAACATAAAAAGTAAGAGTAAAAGTGATACCACCATTAATATGTAAACTATCTTCCGCATAATGAGGTGACAGATCCTGTTATGTACATTAGTCTGATTCATAATATGACAGATTTGTGTAACAGCGTCACTGGCTAAAGCGTAATTAAAACCTTGTCAATAAATATTGGATTTATTTTCTCTATGTTCCACATATAGAGAGCTATCAAGTACAATAAGTATAAGTAAACATTAGTAAGAGAAAATAAGATAAGCATACTTAACTTACATCATATACATGTTGTAGAAAGTTTACATATGATTTCTCTGTATCTACCAATTCTTTCCATGCTAACTGATATCGCTTAGCCGGAGTCGACAGTGAATTCAATGATTCCAATCGTTCCAATTGACTTGGTGAATTCAAATTTGAACCAATTACCTTGCTACTGTTGTTTCTACTGTTAAGACCCTAGAATGAGATACAATATTAATGAATTAAATTATAAGGGAAGACCTAATACTATTGCAAAAGCAACTGATGTCCGTCCATGTTGAATATTAACCTGAAATCAATAAATAAAAATCCCCACAAACCTCAAAACTAAATTAATCTAACCATCATTGGTGACTAGAGATGATTCCCGAAGTTCCAATGAGAAATCGTGACCGGTAGGTTCAACCAAGTTGAACATGAGGACAATTACTCAAAGACAGTATTGGATGGAGGTCGTGAACTGACAGAAGGAAATGCGGACTATTGGATTCCAACCCAGTGGCTCAATGGTCACGTGCTGGTCATGGAATCTGAAGGTCCTCGGTACGACCCCTGGCGACACAAGGTCATGAGTGCATACTACTGAGAAGTCCCGTACGAGGTAGAAACAGCTGTCCAGTGCCCTCAGGTTTCTAATGTTTCTCCAACATATGTCAGCCCATGATGAATACTAACCTGAAATCAATAAATCTCCATAAAACGTAGAATTAAAAATAAAGAATTAAAACCCGATTAGTCTACTTCAAGTCCACAACCAGGTCACAACCAAGACTTTGGAAACGAACAATAGTACACTTACTAGGTTATGTGAGTAAAATAAATATCCGAATCCTGCAGCGGTTCAAATTTTCCCTTCATCTCTAAGCTTCACCCAGTATCAATATAGGCCTACCAAACCACACGTATCTGAGATAGTCAAACAGATAATTCATATAGTCCTCCCTGCCCTTTTAATGCAAGTATATTCGGATTGAGGTGAGAAGGCCTGGTTGAGCAGTCAATGTGAGTGCGATCAAGAGATAGCAACACGTCACGAATTCATATGGCAGTCGGGTAAAAGCCTTGGTGATTGATATGCAACAAAACTGTGATCATCAGTCGGGTATCGTAGCTTAGTGGTTAGAACATACGGCAGAAACTCGATGGTCACTAGCTCGAATCCCTCTGCGGTTCAAGTTTTCAATCTTTAGGTGCACCTGAGATCAAAGTTTTGGTTACATCTAACCACCTACGTTTGGTAAAGGATAAACCAAAATTTGCTTCTTGGACATTATTGTAGTGACCTACCAGTTTATTCAGACGTTAGATTTATGAAAATGTGGGAAATGCTGCAAGCATAAAAGCCATCAAAGTAGAACTAGAAACATACCTCTGATGAAGATGATGACGACTGTCCCATTTCACCAGTTTCGTGGACAGGTGAATTTCTATCAGGACTGGTTATGGTACTATTGTTACTGGCAAAAGATTGAGAATTAGGATGATTCCTTGGAAAACTTGTACGTGATATGTGTTGACGAATTGAAGCAATAGCAAGGTTACAATTTTGTGCTAAATCCTCTACTTTTTTCAGCAATTTACTTAGTTGACTCTACAAGAAGTAAATGAATGAATCTTTATAATTGATAACAGCCAAATTTTTCTAAGAAAAAGATGGAAACATTTCAGGATTTTTTAAAAGAACAGGAATAAACATTGGAGCAGAATAATATGGGTCTGCTTTATTATTTCGGCGGTTCTCATCAGTTGCTTACAACCTCGAATATTTACAATAAAAGTAGTAACATACTTCAGTTTATTGAGTTCAGTTAAAACGGGCAACAACATAGAGAAGTAAAGAAACTGTCCGAATTAGGATAAAGTTAAAATGTCATACAATGATATCATAAACATACATATATATCTTATTAGAACGAAAATTCTCATAAAAATTAGATGGTAACAGAGACCAGTATTGTGTAACTTAGAATAGGAAATTACTTGAGTCAATGAGTAGATAAGCTACGGTGGCCTGTTTGAATATTGAGCTACCAACTTTATTCATCGAACAATCATCATCAAATTCTTTCCTTACAATTTGTTTGAATCATTTAAATATGTCCTTTGAACGTATCATGTACTCTGGTATATTTTAAAACTGTTTCTAACTCCCCATTTCTCCAGTCAATAACAAAGGAGAGAAAAAATACTAAGTTATGTGGAAATGGACTTTTCGGTGAGAAAATGTACATCATATTTCTATCCATCAGATGCTTAGCTTGAGTTGCAGATTTTTGTACCATCTGAATGAACCGCCACCACCAAAATTACACTTGCATTTTTGTTACTTCTTCATTATGAACTGGATGCCCATCCAGAACTAGCTGGCTATTTGACATTATTGCCTTGAATACTGTTATCAGTAACATTATTTAGATGAACTAGCCATTTCGTCTGAAAGTATTGTTCTGGGAGTGAATTTGTTGAAAATTTACATGCTGAGAATTCCATACTGTCATACATATTGTTTGGAATAAAGCCATTATTATTATCATTATTATTATTATTAAGCTAGTAGCAGTCAGAAAACAAAATAGAATAGAACATAATGAGTAGACTTCGGTTGATTAAAGTTACGGGTTTAGACATAACAGAAAATCTAATGACAGGATAGTGATGTAATCGAATAAATGGAAGGTTAAGAAATTAGGTTATGATGGTAGTTAAAGATTGATGAAAAATCCCTTTTGAACACATAAATCTGGTATCCTCAGGTAAAGCTAGTACCCCTGTTTCATACTCCTTGTTTGCCAGTGCAATCAACAGGTATTCCTCATTATGTAACCTCCATTCATGTATATCAATTCACGTGTATTTGCCGGAGGAGTTACATTACGAGAACAGAAAGAGGATAATGCCTTCAATATTTTCAAATGTACTGAAGAACCTATGATTGAGGACACCAAGTATCCTCAAGCAGTTAATGAACAAAGGACCCCAAGTAGAAGTCTTGGAATTATTCCCAGTAATCAGTAAAGAGAATGATTCAAACCTATTTCGCTTAACTGAATTCACTACAATCAAACAGGCTCATATGGCAATTCGGACAGTTTGGTTACTTCACTATGTCCTGTCCTGATTGAACTAAAGTATGTTTGTATTTTTTATCGTATACTGTTACTGTAAATATTTGAGGATGTGAGCAGCTGATGAGAACCGCCGAAATAACAAAATGGATTCATGTTATTCTGCTTCAATTTTGCTCCTACTCTTTTAAAGCTGATGAAGGAAAATGTGCGTATAGAATTTCAGGAATTCTTTATTATTTCTATGGTGACAACTGATTTTATATGAGCACTAAAAATCTACAATATGAATTATAAATCTTCCGTGATAATTGCAGTTACGTAGTGGTTTATGAGGAAATAAATGATACTAGTCCCCTTTAAAAGACTTAGTACTATAGTAACGAACTCATAGAATTTCATGTCATGCTCTTTTGACATTCTGGATCAAAGTGATTAAGAACAAATTAATTACGTAATTGTTCAGGCTGTTTCCCACTTTTCTCCAATACGACAAGTAGTACAAATATCACTAGTAGGGGTTACGGAGGGTTACCAATTCACTAGATACAACTAATCCTACAGAATTACTCATTTTATCCGTGCAATAGTAATAGGACTAAATATGCTTATGCACTAGACTATGAGCTAAACAATGTGTACAGACTTATAATTACCACCCAGTTACCCATGATGAAGTACATGGACGATGGCTTAAGCCCAGAATCAATTGTTTGAAAGCCGAACATACAGGTCAACGATGAAAATAAAATAATCCCAAAAGGATCACTAGCGTAAAGAGAGTCTATTCACTTTGAAGCCACTGGTAAATAAAAGCTATATTATAATGAAAAACCTGAAGTATCAGTCACATCACATAAGCATCACTTTGTGGTGATATGCAGTCAAACATAATACTACAATCATTATCCATATTATATACAAGACTACATAAACTCACTTTCAAATCAGCATCTAATAATCCCGCTAATCTTGTGTGAAATAACTTAGGATTTCGAAGTAGTTCTAATCTTTTTTGACGTGAAGTAGTAAATGCAACTAATTCATCCATATGTGATCGACATTCTACTAGGTCCATTACAGTCAGCTTATCTGATGGTGTCACTGTTTCCAATAAACGAAAACCTTCTTTAATCCATGAAGCAGCCTAAAAGTAATAGGGATTAAAGTAATTAACACTAAATATAGAAATATAAATAAATCTAAAATCCATGTAAATTTCGCTTAGACAAGGTTTTGAATCAATTATCAATCGTAGTAGATAATGTTTTGGCGTTTGAAGTAGTCGGTATTAGTGGGAATAACATCACTCACTGGGAGGCAGATACACCCAGCTGACGAGTCGTAAATAGGACGATACGTATGTGCTGGATTACACTGCTAGCCACTACGTATCATTACTATAGTTATATACAGTATTAAAATGCATCTAAATGAACCTAACCAAAGGTTGGAATATAAGTTTATTTGTTCAGAAAAAGATAAACGTAAAACTTGAGCACTGTTTTTTCATAGTTCTATGAACAAAACTGAGTGCTATTTCAAACTGTAACCAAATAAGCTTACCATTGTGGGTGACTACAAGAAACTTATCGATTTATCACTTTCAACTACAAAGAGTTTTACTGATATGTGGAATAGGCATCCTAGTTTTGATATACACCTAAAATTCACACAAGAAAAATAACTCCCACCGGTCCTAATGACCTCGAAATTCCGAAGGCGTATTATATCCTGACACTATGACCTTCAAATTCAGCATCTCCAAGAGTTCAACACTTTACATTTCGTTAAAATGACCCATTCCCTTTGTTGTAGTCAGTGTCAACAGACTGCGTACAAACTAGATAAATGCAGTTCATTTTGTATTAATGAGATGGTGAAATCTACCTTGTAAAGTATTCACTAAAAACTCTAGCTCATCTACCCACTTTTCCTGTAACAAAATACAATGAAAGTTGGTGATCTATAAACCTCTGTATATTTTAACAATACGAGTTTTGACTAGCTGTTTCTTAAATCCATATGAACATGACAAGCTTTCCAAAATGACTAGGGAATCAGTTCAAGCAGATAACCCTTAATTTTGATACTAATGATGGGTAATGGATATCAATTGATGAGTGTTTCTTCTGATTTGAGACTGTCAGCTGGAAGTATCTGTTCTCCAGTGAGTAATGCTATTCCCACTGAGCAGCTCCAAGAAGCTATCTCTTTCAGTGATAATTTAGACCAGTCATTGCTTAAACCAACAATCAAAGACTTCATCCGCTAACGCCATTTTTCAGTTTGGTCACCTCTAAACTTTTTCCAGCCTTAACCTACTTCAGCCAACATCATGCGATGGTGATGACGAGGAATGCTAAACAAATGTCTCAGTCACCTGAGTATAACAAGATTCAAAATTTTACCTGTTGACTTTCCCCTCTTCCCTAAAACTTTACACCAAACTTCTACTTTATTGACCTGGTGGTATCATGACACATGGTCTGTGTTACAAAGGAGACCGTGGTCGAACACTTTAAGGCTTCTTATGTCCTCTACCTTGAATCTACCATATTTCACAACCATATAGAAGAACAGAGCGAACTGCAGCGCAGTACACTACTTTTAATAGGTGATAGAGTATCACGGTGACATCATACATGGGGTAATTTGGCGAAAGCCGAGAAAGCCTTTAGCATCCATGCGGAGACTTCGTCGGTCGCTGAACCAATAGGGCTGGTCCGACTTCACAAGTGAACTGGCCAACCCACTCAACCAATTCACTCCCTTGTGTTAAACAAGGTACCAGCTAAGATCAGTTCTGAAGCAACAATTTGCACTTGGTTGGCGAGAAACGCATCCGAAAGACATTCAAATTGCCATTCAAGTTTTCCAGAAGACTATCCATCGTATTAACATCACTTAGCAGGACTATGTCATCTGCAAACTCTAGGTCAACTAATGAGTCTCGTGTGGTAAAACTAATCCCTCGTGAGAGATGGACCTCTCCATGACAAAATTATGTACGAACAGAGAAAGCGGACATCCTTGACGGACACCACTCAACTTCCCTGATTATTCATCATACGCTCACACAAGCCAATGGGTGTTCTTAGCTGGCACCCATTTCAGTGAGACACTGACATAAGACCCCTTGGTCGACAAAGTTGAATGGAACTTCCAAGTCAAGAAATACACCTAATGTTGGACACATGGAAGTGTGTCTGTGTCCCGGAAGCTAACAGGGGATGAGTATCTAGACGATGTACACACTACCAGGTCTGAAACATACCTAGTTTCCTCGGGTTTGATGTCCCTGAGCTTCTCTTAGGCCACTGATCATAGAACCTAGGATCTTAGACACTATAATAGTTGTACTGCTTGACCTATTTTAAACCTTCGCTTCCATAATTGCGTAGATTCCTTGTCAGTTTACATTTCAGTTGTTTCCCATACTCATTATCTTCAGAACCTGCAGGAATGTGTTCACGTGTATCCATCAATTAAAAAGCTACTGAGATCCTCTGAATGCTCCTAACCTCTTCCTGAGAATTACGGTCTATAACACTGTTTCTACAGCAGACTTTAGATGGGCGCCAGGTTTATTCTGGACGAGTGATTTTGTTCTCTTCCGGTAACTATCTAACCAGCTTATCATTGAAAGCAGCCTTAGTAAGTATTCTCATCATCAAGCTGCACTCGTAATAGTCCTGTTGCTGTAATTTTACTATGTCTATTCCGGCGCAAAAATACTCATGTCAGAACCAACGCTTGATCACTGTCTAAACACGTGCTTCATAAGAAGCAGCAACATTCCACCGGCCCTCTTCTCCAGTAGCAACTGATAGAAATATGGTCTGTTCATGTCCACCGCTGCTCAGTTAGGGTTGACAGACGATACGTCAGACAATATCTCTCTTTATTTCTGAACTTCGTGCTGATCAGAAACAGGTGGCTGGAATTCCGAAAGTACCACCTAAGTGCTTTTCTGTCTGACTTAGCCTACTCACTTGTGCATTGGAACTACTCGCGACACAACCATGTCTGAAAGTTTGGTTTTCAGTAAAAGACTAGGCAGTTTTCGGTAAAACTCATCCTCCACTTCTTCTTAACTGCAGTTCATGGGTACGTAAGAAGAGATTAAAAGGGATAATGCTGAATTTCACTCCACTTCGTTGTCAACACTATGTTGTTAAGTTGAACAGGGAATAGGCGATTAGCAACTGGAATTAAATCGAGTAGTGCACTTTATGCTTTAGAGCTCAATGCTATACGTAGATCTGCAAGACCGCGGGAACTGGTTTTCTAATCTCCAGAGACTAGAAGGATTAATTTTAAGGATTCATCAAATTGACCGGGTGAGGTTAAGTGAATAACCGCTGAATGCTTGTCTCACAAACACAGCACACGTTTATGGCCCAAGTTGCTAGACTTTTCGGTGGCTAAGCCTGTTGGCCATTTTGACGGAGGGTGTGGACATCGAGAGCTGCAACATGTTTGCGGAGCAGCTTCAGGAGACCAGTGATGCAGTTGTTTGAACTCATATTGTTGTCAAGAGCTGCATAGCTGGAAGAAATTAAACATGAAGTAAGAGAAGAAAGATCTGTAGGAACCTGAGGCCAATAGAATTATGAGGGTGGTTGACATCTACCGGCTGCTCCCACCACAGAAGGCTACTTTTTCTTGAAGTGTCTGGAAAGAAATTGAGTTAGTATTAGTGGTGCGTAACCACAGAGTTTATGTGATATCTGCTTGAGACCGGTCACACACACATATACACACACCCTTTTCAGAATTTAAATTTGTTTGTTTTGATTCTAGTTATAAACCCATACCACCGGCACCGAAAGATCACATGACAGGCAGGAGTATGCTATTTTTAGGTCTGACTTTCTCCAACCTTCTCCAATCCCAAAGAGGAAGGTACCATCAATATGATTACTCCTGTAACACCCCAGTCAGCCGTACGACTTCGCTTCACGGTACTCCTAATAAAGTAGTAATTTATACTATAGCGGTAACTGTTTTTTCTCTTACCACTATCCAACAGACTTTCCTGGGATGGTAAGACCTCAAGGGAGTAAGTGCTCCACCAGTATAACTAGTTGGGTCATTGTGGTATGCAAACCCGATTAACGGGTTAAGGTAGCAGCTATCGGTGGGAGTAACTTGAACAGGAAAATGACTAATGAAGAACCTTGGAATAAAGCAGGCAGTAATGCAAAGCATATTTAAAATATGAATTAACTCCTGAATAGACTCGGCAAACTATTTACCGATTTTAAGTTTAAATCAATAACTGTTCAAGCCAATGTCTAATATACAAGACTGCATACCTTAGTCACTGAAGAGTAGCCAATCTTATGTTGCCTAGTCCCGAGTGTTGAACGAATTGTATGCATCATTTTGCAATATGGCTACCACATCGTGGACATTAATTGGTCGGAAGTAATCGCCACGAAGCTCAGTAACCAATTTCAACACTCAGAACTAGACAACATGAGCTTGGTTGCTATCCAGTGACCAACCAATGAATGTTATCCTGTCCTACAGGAAGTCAGTTACAGCCTGAATAGCTTAGAGGTAACATCACTACCTTCAACACTGGATGACACGAGTTCGGATCTCAGGCGGAACATCAACCGACTGACATCCATACGAGACTACACCATTTTGATCGATCTTGTGATTGAAAGGCAAGTGCGTTTCCTAACACTCATTACACATACAAGCCATACAACAACTGTGACAACTATGGAAATAAGATAGGAGAATCTGAAAATGAGCAATATGGAAGAATAGTAAATAACTATAAGGGTTAAAAATGATTCACATAACATCCTTTTGAAAGAATACTCACATTATCTATTTCTGTATAAAGTTGTAATAAACGATTGATTTGATCTGCTGCTTTTGGTAGGTCTATACTAGCTAAATCAATCATACTTCTAAATAGAACAGACCATTCTTTTACAGTAGGCGGTAATCTCATTGGCGGAAAGCGTTCTTTCATGCATTCATCAAGTTTCTTTGTCTTAGAGATGTAATCAATTTCATGAGATAAATCCAGACTAGGTAGCTCACTTTCCTCCCTGGAGCATAACGATAGACAACTAGAATTGTGGTCAGTATCAGTTTCTTGATGAATACCATTTGTTGTTTTCGTTGTTGGTGTTGCTTCTGGACAGATACTTGGAAGTAAATTCACACTGATCAATCCATTTACATCACAAAGGAATCCAGCTTTAGAAAAAAGTAAATCAAAGATAATATGATTACTCTCTTTGGATAAAAACACTTGATCGAGTTAATAAGTACTGATCAAAGTTTATCAATTATATTTTCAATGTTCCTATTACGCTAAGTAATATAAGACCCAAGTGCACCTGAGTGTCATGCGTTCAATTATCTAGAGGATTAAAAGTTTCCTTACTATGAGCAATAACCGTATTGCTCACTTTTTTCTGAAGTTTGTGCTGAATATGCTGTCTAGAATGACAATGAAAACTTGACGATCAAACAATCCAGCTCAGAAAACTTAACCCGGTGAAAGTTTCCTTACGATTGCAGATATACAAATAGAAATCATGAGCCTGGGCATCGAGGGATTCCTGGAAAGTGACTTTTATTATTTAGCTTCAGAAAGAATAAAGTGTTCCATCTTAGTCTGTTTATAAGAAATGTGACACAATGAAGGAACAGAATCATTTACTAAATAACGTTTCGGACACAATTTACTGTCCATATTCATTTCAGGTAACTCCACAACACTGAGAAAGAAGTTATGTATTCCTAACTTTCTCTTCTTCTTTGTGATGACAGGGGTAGTTGTGTTTCTTTCCATATGTCTGGGACAGGTGCAGAATCATTACCCGTTGCATGTATTCAGTGTTGATTCGATGAGAAAGATTTGGTTATCAATCTCTCCTTCCACCCAACCCTGTCGCTCTATCCCACCCTACTGTGTGATTGTGTGTAATTGCGCGCAGAGCTATAGCCGAGCTTTTCTCTAAATTTCTTATTTTATTGGGATCTACTAATTTCGATGTGGCTAAGTTTTTGTGCTCTGTTATTCTAATCGACCCTGGTCGAGTACTTTGACCTATGTACTTGACCTCGTAATCATTGTGAGGGATTTGGTAAACTAAATTATTTTGCCTAATTTGATCAATAGGATCTTTTAACCTATAAAGCTTGTTTCTAAGTGAATTCGTAGGTTTAAATGCCACTTTAATCCCAGCCTTGTTGAGAATTCTTCGTAACGCTTCTGAGTTGCCTTCCTTGTATGATAACACAGCGGAGGCTTTGAATTCTGTCTCAACCCTCTTACCATTATTACTGTTGGTAGTAGAATTATTATTCATAACACCTGCATTACTACTATTAGCAGTAATGTATCTACGAGGCACCTCAGAAACATCATGAAGAATTCTGAATAGCTCAGTTGGTAGAGCGTCGGACCGGAAACTCGGTGGTCGCTGGTTCGAATTTGGTCGTGGTCTGAATCTTTATTTTACTTTAGTTTATCACCCAGAATCAATTCTCAACAAGGCTGGGATTAAAGTGGCATTTAAACCTACGAATTCACTTAGAAACAAGCTTTATAGGTTAAAAGATCCTATTGATCAAATTAGGCAAAATAATTTAGTTTACCAAATCCCTCACAATGATTACGAGGTCAAGTACATAGGTCAAAGTACTCGACCAGGGTCGATTAGAATAACAGAGCACAAAAACTTAGCCACATCGAAATTAGTAGATCCCAATAAAATAAGAAATTTAGAGAAAAGCTCGGCTATAGCTCTGCGCGCAATTACACACAATCACACAGTAGGGTGGGATAGAGCGACAGGGTTGGGTGGAAGGAGAGATTGATAACCAAATCTTTCTCATCGAATCAACACTGAATACATGCAACGGGTAATGATTCTGCACCTGTCCCAGACATATGGAAAGAAACACAACTACCCCTGTCATCACAAAGAAGAAGAGAAAGTTAGGAATACATAACTTCTTTCTCAGTGTTGTGGAGTTACCTGAAATGAATATGGACAGTAAATTGTGTCCGAAACGTTATTTAGTAAATGATTCTGTTCCTTCATTGTGTCACATTTCTTATAATCTACTCCAGTCACCCAGACGACAACCACGAGCACACTAAGTTTTTGACAGGCTATCATCACTTCCCTAACACAATCGAAGGTCCTCATGCAGTGGGAACCAATCTCCTCCTCCAACATCATGACAGCAAGATTCAATGCAAAAGAAAAGGAAGTCACAATCATAAAATGCTACGCGCCAACAAATAATGCAGATCAAGAGAAGAAGGAGGAATTCTATAGACAAGTGCAATCAGTAATGGACAATACCTAACCCCACATAGCCACATCAAATTTCACTCTAATAGGTAGAATGACATAAATGCCAAACTACGAGCAGACAACGCAGGAAGAGAACTCATCACAGGCCGGGAAGCATTCGGTCAAAAGATGAACGAGGAAGGAGAACTCTCTGCAGACTTCTCTGCATTCAACGCTTTGCTGATTTGAGGTAGTGTGTACAAACACATAAATATTCACAAAGCGACATGGATTACACCATGTACACCGGAAATTAGGTCGACTTCATCTCAATCTCAAGAAAGCGGAGACGCAGCCAGCCTACTCGCCACAACATCAAGAAGCGGAGCACATGTAGTTAAGTTCAGACCACTCACTACCTAGTGCAAGAAACCCTGAAGACTGCGTGTTCAAAAACACTGGAACTCTTTGAAGGTGATGTGACGTGGAAGGAAACCTGCATAGCCGTATTAGGAAAGAAAAGGAAACAAGACAAGGAATGGATCTTCACAAACACATGGAAGCTGACAAAACAGAGGAAGATGGTGAGGCAGAAGATGAACCAGTGCAAGGATGCTCAACGGAAAGAAGAACTGAGTACAACGTATAAAACACAGGACAATGAACTGAAGAAGAGTGGGGGCAAAGACAAAAGACACTTCTACGAAACACTGGCAAGTGAAACAGAGCAGGCTGCAGGTAGGAGAGACAGAGACCTGACAACATTGTATCAAATAATCAGGTTACTATCCGGGAACAGATCAATCCACATAGTGAAGTAAACCTAGTTACCAGAGAAGGGAAATAAATGAAACGACGGGCAGAACACTTCAAAAAACTCTCCAATCGACCACCACCTGCAACTCGTCCACAATTACCACCAGCAACGACAGAACTACAAGTGAACACAAGCCCTCCAACAAAAGCACAGGTGAAGTCCTGAATGCCATAAAGTTGCTGAAATTCAGGAAAGCTGCAGGGCCTGATGGAATTCCACCAGAAGCACTGGAAGTAGATGCAGATACATCAGCAGCGGACATGCTTACACCACTACTGAAGAAGGTTTGCAAGGAAGGAAGGAAGGAAGGAAGGAAAGGTACCTGCTGATGCATTGGTAGAAGGGCTACCTTGTCAAACTCCCAAACAACGGAGACCTAAGCCTTTGCGAGAACTGGCACGATATCATGCTGCTGTCCACCCCAAACAAAATATTATGCTACATCATCCTGGAGAGACTGAAAGATGCTCTCCATTCAAAACTACGACCGAACAGGCTGCCTAGCTGGCTGGCTTCAGGGAGAATAAATCATGTGTGGATCGAATTGAAACGCAACGCTACGCATCATCATAGAACAGAGCATAGAATGGCAGTCAACTCTCTACCTCAACATTATCGACTCTGAAAATGCCTTCGACAGCGTCGACCGAGAAGTAGTTTGGTGGGCAGCTGCTTCAATACTGCGGTTTTAGTACCAATAAACTACAGACATACATCATCAACAGCTGCCACCTACACTCACTCAGCACTGAAGATCAGATAGATGGCCAGAATAATAAGAATAGGCAACAAGGAACTCTGACCTGACAACGAACGAACCAACAAAGCAAGAACCTATCACCCAACAACTATGAAGAAGAAAGTGGAGATGGATTGAGCATACACCAAGGGAACCATTTGGGGACATCACGCGTCAGACCAGACCAGGCCCTCAAGTGGAATCCAAAAATGGGAGAGGACGAGTTGGGCGTCCGAGGTGAGGGTGATGTGGAGGAGATGGTGTGAGGAAAAGCCAGGTTCAAAAGACTCCAGAGAAGAGAGTGAAATGGAGATGTGCTACTGAAGCCCTATATTCCACTAGGAATCCAAGGGACAAATAATAATAATAATAATAAGTGTGTAACATTTCTTATAAATGGACTAAGATGGAATTACACCCTAACACAGTACCCAAGTTCTACTCCTATAAGAATAGCGCTGATTTTCGTTATAAACAAAGCAAACTGCGATCGATACATGTTATTAAGCTTATACGTATTGTAAAAAGTGAAGTAAACTTGTTGTTATGTGACATTAAACGATACAAACCTGACTGATGTTTACACCAAAGTACCTGAACATGTATGTACTTACAATCTAATGATTGGGGATTTAGTGTCTAGGCTACACATTTAGCCACATACAATGGCATAGACAAAAGGTTTACATTCATACAGATGGTGAATGATAACTTATTCTAAAAATATAAACCACTAGCGGAATTATTAGAAGTATTCTAAATACGTTTCTATGAGATAAGGTAATTCGTCGATAATTGTTTAGTGTTCTCCTAGCTTTGAGATTTGTTCTTGAACGTTTCGTCATCAGGCTAGGTGATCTCATGAGCACTTACTTCATGCAGTCTATTGACGAAGTGTCCAAGAACAAACCTCAAAGCTTAGAGGACATCAAACAACTATTATCGTCATTGTGAGCTACAAATCTTCTCTATTATATCAATAAGTTAGTTCATTTAGCTACAAAAAGCTGAAACAGTAATAACTTGATGATTTTGCAGTTTTTTATAAAGTTAAATGGTTCAAATGAAAAGTCTTTATTGTCAAGGCATATAACATTGTCAAAGTTCACCGTAAACTTTAATTCAGTGACAACAAAAGTGTAATATTCATTAGTTCCAACAGCAATAAGCATACATGGTTGTTATGTCAGTCATCTGACCTCTAAAATATCCGATTACGCTAATTACTATGATAATAAATGCCCACCTTTTGAAACGTGTACTGAGCATCTAGATGGAGGAAAGGAGAAAAACTAAATAAACATCGGACATGGAGTAGCTGCGTACACCTTCGGGCTCTTATAATCAACGTCGAAAAGAGATTAATACGAGGGAGAATAGGAAACTAGAAATGACATCATGATTAGCAAAGGAAAGGTAAAGGATAAAAGATAAGCTCAAGAGAACTCCCAGACTCAGATAGAGATATGACGTGACTGCATCTGTACCGCTGGGATCGATAATCATAATATATCAACGTGATGCTTCAAATAACCGAATATAGACGTCTCAAAGACTTTAATCAAGCTTACACTTCCACTTCTAGGTTGTAGAACACTTCGATATGAAATTGACGTTAACAAGTGAATAATATATCCATGAAAATAGTATCAATAAACACCTTTTTGATTCTTTAAACTTGGATGCAACCAACTTCTGTTGGTCTCGGTGACTAGCAGAGGAGTCAAGGACGCGCATTTCGTCCTATTTAGGACTCGTCAGCTGGATCTACTTGTACCCCCAGTGTGGATTGTTGTTCCTACTGAGACTCGAACTCATAGGTCGAGCGACTCAGCCCTGTATACCAACGGGAAACTACAAGTATCACAAAAGCATCCAACTTCTAACCATACCGATGATATACATTGATCCCCAATAACTACTATGAATATACAGTCACTAGATAGTGAAACTCAGGTCAGGGACTTCAGTTACGATAATGTCTTTCTCTTGATTTCCATACTAAAGTGTTAGTAATGAATATTCTTTCTTTTTTAAAGCAAATACTTGTGAACAACAATATGTGAATACCTTGATTATTTTCTTTTAGATCATTATCATTATTATGATCATTATCCGGCAACTCTTCTCCACATATAATAAACGATAAAAAAGTATCCGTGATACTAGTCAACTCTTTTAGTCGCGGTAACAGACGACCTCCGGTAGTTTCTGCTTCCAATACACGACAGGATAATGACTCCAAGTCTTCTAACATTGTTTTACTTAACGATGAGTTGACTTCATCACACTCATCATTCAACGCAGAAAGTATGATACAATGTGATGGAGAATACGCCAAAGTATTGTTCTCCTTATTACTGTCTGAAGGTGATTGATTATAATGATGTACGGGTGATACGCCACAGGAACTTGACATTTTAGTTGGTAAGTAATCAACCAAAGATTCAATAAGATTATTCCATGCATTCGATAGAGCAGAAAACTGAAAGGAGTTTCAGAAAAATCAGTGAAAGAAAGGATGAAAACAATGATACGATGTATTCGAAAAAAACACTGTTTTTGCATTCATTCAAAATCTCCATAACTATACACGTAAAAAATGACTACAAACTGTAACAACACCTGCTATATATACAAGCATTAGATTATAAACTATTTTGAGAAAAAAGATGCAATAAGAAAATTACTTCAACACGCAAAAGATTGTTACAGGTTACCTAGGAATTCTTACCCCAACTGATACCTAAGAAGGTTCTAATGAGAACTAGCAGCCTTTGTGATTATTTGAGTAGTGACCTACAGGATAGTTATAGGCCTCAAATGCATTCAGCAACCTTGTGCACATTCGTGTAGTTGGCCATAAGACACACCTATTGTATGACGGCTAATAATATACATACCACCTGTTTGCTCAAACTGCGGTAGGTGGAGAGGGTTTTGAACCAGTGACCCATTGGCTGAAAGTCATCTACCGAAAACCAATAAGCCATAGCTTCACACTCCTGACTCTAGATGGAATTACAGAATGATTAATATGTGGTAAATATTTCAGTCACTGGAACTGGGCTCAAAATCTTAACATGTAGCCTGTTCACCATATATATATATATATATATATATATATATATATATATATATATATATATATATATATATATATATATATATATATATATATATATATATATATATATATATATATATATATATATATATATTATATACAGAGAGATAGAGAGAGTTATATGCACTTTTGATATAAATGTCTATGAAACTACAGACTCATCTGTGCTTGAAGTAAAAAGAAGCCGATGATACGAATAGACGTATCTTACATCATGAGATATATATACGGTATATAAAAACGCCAAGGGCTTGAGATCAAACACATCCAACGCTGCAAATAACAGCTTTTGCTTTCGAGCTTCTTTGAAGCAGTCGGCCAGAATAATTATCAAACAAATTCAGGAACTTCGATGCCAACTCCAACAAAAGAAGTTTGAACTGATAGGCAGTCGACACTGATTGGTCACCGGAATGCTGTCTATTTCCCAAAGTTGACAGAATTCTATCAACTATCTCGCATTTGTTATGAGACCCAACCATCATGCTACACCTTGATTGATGTTAGTTGGTTGGAGGCAGTCGGTGGAGAGCCATGGATTTGGAATTACATCAGTAACTTCAGAAAAGACAATATTAAATTAGTTACTCCAAAGTCCAATCCTACAGAAGATTAATTACCGACTACAGAGGCCGGTAGTAACGTCTCTGTATGCATTTCTGGGCAGTGTAGAGTTGAATCCCCTGTAAGGAAACCTATTCCCGCAAGGTTGCAAATATACTTCAAACGATATGTACAACAAAGGATTCCTGCAAACCGTATAAAGTAAGAAGTAGTATATATTGATCCCTATACAATGTATGCAAACTATTGTCCAGCAAATCAACCTGCATGTAGTTGCCGAATGACAAAATCATATTCTACATCCAAAACAATTTGACTATCTTGTTATGACAATCATTTTTTTATAGTCTTTTAAGCATAAGATTTCATTCACAGATGAATACAGCCATCATATACTTTAAGAGTTGTGCTTAGGTTACTATTACAACCCGCATTTACATGACTCATCCAGCTCAATATCGCCAACTTAATCGCACCCGCCTTACGAGTTTACCTTTAAAAGCAATTAATCCAAAAAAAAATTGGAAACTGCTTCAACACTACGGAGTACCACAAACCTTTATCAACCTCACTTAACAGCTATGAAACAGCCACATACCATGTGATTCACAATGGAGAGCTCAGTGACACCTTTGAAGTGAAGACAAGAGTAAGACAAGGCTGCCACCTACTATCACCGATCATCTCCCTAATTGTTTTCAACTGGATCATGCAACAAACTGTGAAGAGCAAGAAGACGAGCATACGCTGGCTGCACCGATGAAAAGAGCCTAGAAGATTTAGATTTCAACAGCGATGATGATTTATGTCTAATGTCTTCTGCCGCACAAACTGGAAGATCTACAGACAAAAAACCAACAAGTTGACAGAAGAGGTAGGGCAGCGAAGACTGGACTTCAAGTGAATGTAGAGAAGATAGAGGTGATAAAGATACCCAACCAACAACTCTCACCAATCACCATTAACGGGGAAAACCTAAAGGGAGTTGTCTCTCTCACCCACCTACATAGGCAGACAGCATCGTCTCAACTACAGGCGACTCAGGCACAGATGAAGACTTCAAAGTCAGCCACGATTGGAGAGACAACAAGATAGGCCTTATTGTATTAGTGTGAAATAATCAGTGTGGAGATCTAATCCACTCCACTGCACTCCACTCCACTCAGCATGAAGCATGAACAAGATCCGGATTGTCAACACTAATTCAGTCAAGTCAGTGCTTCTATGTTATGGTTCGGAAACTTGGCGTGTCACGAAAAGCATTTCCAACAAACTACACACATACATCATCAACAGCTGCCACCTACACTCACTGGGCACTGAAGATCAGATAGATGGCCAGAATAATAAGAATAGGCAACAAGGAAGTTTGACCTGACAACGAACGAACCAACAAAGCAAGAACCTATCAGCCAACAACTATGTAGAAGAAAGTGGAGATGGATTTGATTGGGGATAGACTGAGAAGGCCGACTGGGAGGGGGGGGGGGAGAGGTGGGGGACATCGCGCGTCAGGCCAGACCAGGTTGTTGAGTGGAATGCAATGGGGAGACGACGAGTTGGTCGTCTGAGGTGAGGTTGACATGGAGGAGATTATGTGAGTAAGAAATGAAAGCTTGTAGGCAGATGTGGAGCCGGGTGGAAATAAAAGACTGTAGAGAAGAGAGTGAAATGGAGACGTGCTATTGAAGCGCAATGTTGCACTAGGAATCCACGAGATAATAATAATAACAAGGTAAAAGAAAAAGAGCTAAGATGGAAATGATGAACTTGAAATATGTGTTACACGTAAACAGGAAATAACACAAGTTAAAATAACTTAGAAGTCATGTTTTCATTTGTCAAAGGGAAGGTTATTTCTGGATAACTACGTTACTAAAAGTATTACCATGGAATAGTTGAGGTTGCTGGGAAACAGGCTTTAACGTAATGACCACCTACCTACCTTGACATGAAATGATGATGAGCGTAAGTGAATACTGTCTCATATCAGGATAATCGAGAAATCGAAGCGAAATCTACTCAGCTAAACCTATTGTGAGAGCTAATCATGCCACCTGGGTGATTGAATCTACGACCCACTAGTTGAAAGTCAATTCTCTAAACCAATGAATAGCAACTCTCACACAATCGAGAAACAGAATCACACATTGAAAGAAACGATTAATACAGCAGGTTGAAGATTTGAGATATACTTACGATTGCCAGTGTTTACGAGATAAAGTAAACGATATTAGGTAGTATAACTCAAAGTCGATTAACAATGTGCACTTAATCATTTCTAAACTGACTCTGTAAAATGTCATGTTTCCAATCTACTTCTTATAAATTCGTGATTGTCTTTAGCGAATATTTATAAAAGATAATAATCTAAACGGAGAATATTCTTCTCAATAAATTTTCTTCAGATTCTACAGTTAGAAAATGCATTTACCCAGAGTAAAAACAAGCCATGTTAGGGTTAGGTACATTTCCAAAATGGAGTGAGATTTAGGAATCGTAAAGAAATCGAGTTATCTTTTTTAAATTAGTCAATATTGGGATGATGCATATACAGAAGAATGATATGATAGTGAACAAAAAGATAACGAATAAGGTGGCAGAAGTGGCCTTTAGTTTCCTGAAGGCCAAGGGAGAAGTAACACTTGAATGCAGAGTTCAGGCTTGATCAATCTAATTGCGATAGCCTCCGCTGGGCTGAGCAGGCTTTGACGAGCTACATGTAGTATCGTTTTTGGAATACGATAAATGACACTGAAAGCTTTATTAACATCTATGTGGCATCCTGTGTTGACTAGATACGCTAGGATGGAACTTTTCACCACTCTCACTTCGCCCTTTCCGAACCAAGCTGGTAAACGCTCTCATATCCGGAGAGGCACCTGCTTAATTGTACGCCCTACGTAACTAGTTCCACAGGAACTAGTTAAACTGATATATGCAAGCCGAAGAACTAAGATTAGGTAGGCTATCCTTTAGTCTCGGATTGAGCATTGGCCGACTACTGAATGACATACAAAGCCGACCTGCATAAAACGTCCTACTGACTGCTCGAACTAGGCATTGTGGTAGAATGTCACTTGTAGCATCTCTTTTGAATTGTAAGTCCAGAGACAAAGGCTTCTTCCCCACTGTCATCAGTTATTGTTTAGGACCAATGTAGTTTATATTAGTTTTACTGAACTTCTCCGAATATCCGTTTTCACTTAGAACATCATGGATACACAGTAGTTCTCCTTCCATACACTCCTGGAACAAATCGATCTTACTCTGAAAGCCAGGCACCTGATTATATTACGTTTGCATTTCATCGGTACGAAGCTGAGAAAATAGGTATACTGTACTTTAGACGTTAGTTTTCTATATATGCTTCTCAGTACACAGTCATCATTGTTTCTTGTCATTAGCACATAACGAAAATGTATCGAATCATTGATTTCATTTTTGCACGTAAAATGAATTGCCGGATGAGCACTGTTGAAATGGTTCAGAATAGAATTAAGAAATACGCACCTATCAAAGACTAAAAAAGTATCATCTGTGTATCAACAGTACAATTCTACACATGCGGCTTGATCGTTCAAAAGGACCATTTTCAAATTTAGCTAAAAGTATAACTTTAAATACTGGGCCCAATGGAGATCCCAAAGCCACATCATCAACTTGCCGATACCAATAACTGTGAACATGAACTGGACATATATTACGCACCCTAGCAATAGTTCATTTAAATTCACAATCGAAATTATTTATTATTATTTTAACCTGAGTTCCCAGTGGAACATAGGGCTCCA